TTAGCAAAGCTGTCCATATTTTCTGGAGACATACCGTCCATGTTGTCCCCCCCATAGAGTTGAACTAACAGCGACAAGCACTGTGATGCCTTCTCATATATTTCAGGGTCCTCACTAGGAAGCTAATAATAAAAATAGCAAATGAAATTATTAATGACACAGAATTAATTCATTTTCACTGGGTTTGGGTGTAGTAACATCCACTTTCTAACTTCAAACATTACTGCTTACCCACTTTATTTCCTGTAGCCATTTACTGGAGAAGATTAATAAGGAACATAATAGCAATACGCATTGTAGGGCTCACAGATTATAAGAATTTACAATAACTTCAAGCAGTGGCTATTATATATAACTTCAAGAGTGGCTATTATAGCCTCCATTTTGAAAAAACGAAACAAGATCTTCCCAAATGTTTCAACCTTCGCTAAGAATTTAGTGGGCGTTTTTTCTTTACCCTCCTCTCCCTAGCACTTCATTCAAGTTTACAAACATTTCCATATCTGTATATCAGAAATTTTCCTTCGTCTCTTCAACATTTTCAAATAGTAACCAACAAAATGGGACTTTTTAAAGTGGCACAATGTCTGCTGTATTGTGTCTTTCTGGGATTCTCCCTTCTCTCATAAAAGTCATATTGGCTTGCTAGAACTGGTTTTCCATGCCCCATGACTGATTTCTCTTTTTATGCCTTGTGTGTTTCAAAACTGAAAAGCTGCAATCCCAATCTTTATTTGACTCCTTCTCCTGCCAAGCCTCATGTAGCTGCTGACTCCACCTCTCCAGTCCTCTCATAGACTCATGAAAATCTGCTCATGACTATGAACGGCATGAGTGATGTGGGGTGATCGTCACAGTAATGATGACCGCTATTTTAATTTTTATTAATGTTATACTGCATATAAAGAATACTCTGCTCTATGAAGAAGTTCATGTAAAAATAATGCAACAAAATTTCTGTAAGAATTCAACCTTTGTTTTCTATAGGTGATTTATAGTGGAGAACAGATAAAGAAATATGGTTTCTAATACAGTGGTGCCTTGCTAGACGATTACCTTGCAAAACAGTTAATTCGCAAGACGATAGGTTTTTGCTATTGCTATAGTGCTTCGCAAAACGGTTTTCCCTATGGGTGATTTTCGCTAGATGATGTTTCAGTCCGTGCTTCGCAAGACTTTTTTTGGGGACTTTTTTTTGCAAGACAGCGATTTTGACAGCTGGGTCCGCGCTTCGCAAAACAGTTTCCTATGGGCGATTTCCACAAAAATATGATTCCCCCCCCCATTGGAACACATTAAATAGATTTCAATGCATTCCAGTGGGGAATCGCATTTCGCAAGACGATGTTTTCGCAAGACAGCGATTTTCACAGAAAGAATTAACATCATCTTGCGAGGCACCACTGTATACTATTGCACATTCTAAAGACAAATGTTTGTTTGGCTATCTCTTTGTATGTACTGCTTCCCAGGAACAGCAATCATGACAAGCAGGAAACCAACTAGACTGCATACATCAGCCAAAGGAGGAGGCACTCCAAAGAGATGGTTTTGTCTTTCACTTCCCAAATAAACACCTTTTTAAGGTTGGGTAGCTCAGGGTTTAGTCAGAGTCAGGGGTTGGAATGCAGCCAGCCTGTGTTGCCTTGGATAGACCACTTCTGAGTACTGTTTATCTAGAAAAGCCTGAAAAGGGTTGCTATAAATAAGAATTGACTTGAGGGCCCACAATTATTAAGGCTGGTGGTAACTGTGGGTTGATGTTTTCAGCCCACAAGTACCAACAGTCTTAGTCAATATTCTCTACCTAGAAAACCCTGAAAAGAGTTGCCCTAAGTCAGAATTGACTTGATGTAACATGATGATTATTAGTCAATTGTGAGAGTTGTTATTCAACAGCCACAATTATTCACATCTGCCGTTTCTGGCCAATATCTCCCACTCATTTCTGGACCCTATGTGAAGTTTGGGTTATTCTACAACACTCAGACCCCCTGAGCCTCTCTTCCTCATAGACCACTATATACTCTCTCCCACAAGTACCTGCTTTTCAAGCTACTATCTACCTCACCAACACTTGGTTCATCTGCCCTTATTTTTTAATTTCTTGGCACCTGTTTCTTACCATCAGCTTCTTTTCTAGCAGAGTATCCCTCCTTCAGCATCCTATTCCTGAATAATGAATATGGCCCCTAAAACTTGAGTTAGGATTTTCCTATTCAAATTTCCCTTTCAACTAATTATACTGATGCAAAGAATTCTGAAAGCCTAAAAATTGGTAACTGGTAAAAACTGACTGTGTCATGAATGTAACAGTTGTTTATAAATAATAGATAATAGTTACCTATAAATAATTGAAGAGTGTAAACATTTATGAATAAAAAGAAAGGTGCAAATATGACAGAAGAGGGTATTGCAGATAGAACATGAAGGAAAAATGCTTTAAATTCCAAGTCTTATTAAACATCAGAAGATTCTTTTACAGGGAAATCAGTCATGACCAGGGGTCTCAAACATGCGGCCTGGGGGCCATTTGAGGCCCGCCAGATGATAGTTTGTGGCCCCCGCCTTGCTTGCCCCCCGAAGTGCCCACATGTCCTCTGCTGTCAAGAGTCAAAAAAAGCCTTGACTCGCTCACCGGCTCTCTCTCAAGACAGCGCCTCTTGTACCCTCCATCCAGAACTGCAGCCTGCCAGCCAGCAGACAGGCGGACTGGCTGGCAGGCTGCAGTTCCAGATGGAGGGTGCAAGAGGCACTGTCTTGGAGGAGAGCCGGCGAGTGAGGCTCGCTGCCAGCCCTTTTCCCTGGCAGAAGCTGATGATGACAGCTTGCTCCCGGCCCGTCCTCAAAGAGCACCTTCAATAGCGCCTCCAACAGCAGCTACTGCCACTGCCGCCCCTTCCAGGAAAGTGGCTCTCTGGCTCTCTTTCTTTCGGAGCACCCCCAGTACCAGCCCAGTCAGCGGCTGCCTCAGTGCCCAGCAGTGTTTCCTCCTCCTCTTTGTCCTGCTTCAGCTGCCTTGGCTCTGGAGGCTGCCTGGGCTCGCCTTGCAATGTTTGCTCCTCTGTCATGGTGGGGGTAGCTGCTGCTGCTGCTGAGTGTGCCTTTTTTTTGAGGGGGGTCCCTCAGAGGAAGGTTGCCGGACATCCGTGTGTGTGTGTGTGTGTGTGTGTGTGTGTGTGTGTGTGTGTGTGTGTGTGCGTGTGCGTGCGTGCGCATCTGTACGGCCCCCACCCCGTTCTGTTTAATTTCGCAGGTACCGATGGGGACTTATCTCCTTTGGCAAGGCAATTCTGTGAGTTGTTTTTTTTAAATCTGATGCGGCCCAGCCTCACCCAGACTCTGCCTCCAGCGGCCCCCAGGTAAATTGAGTCCGAGACCCCCTGGTCATGACTGTTTAAGTTATATAAAATTAAAACTAACAAAACCTAGAAGTACACAGGCACAAATTTTACACTAGATGATTGAACTGAATGATTTTTAACACAATTTATTGCTGAGTTTAGTATTTCAACCTTTTTTTCCTTAGGAATACATTGATGACATTATTAATTGCATTATTTAAAAGAGTAAATTTGACTGAGAAATAAGTAAACATTTCCAGATTAAAATTATTCTGTTCAGTTTTAATATTAGTTATGTTTAAAAAATAAAGTAGTCTTTGTTTATCAGTTTACACTTGATACAGAAACACATTATTTGTCTTATAACACAAATTTCTGTTCTAGGATTTCCACAGACAGCATTACTGACTTCAGGATGATTTCTACTGAAGCATAAGTAAAGCTATTCCTGGTAAGACAGTATATTTATTTTGTAATCTTTCATTATTCCCTTTCACAGAAGTTACATTATCACAGTTTCATTTGTTATGCCTTATACTTTATTACCACTATTATTTTAAATGCAACATATTTGTTTTCACTTTTCTATGATCATCTATGACTTTTTATTACTGGGTCGGTTATTTCAAAAACCTTTGTACTAGTTGCGGAAAAAGAGGTTACTTACCTGTGACTCTGGTTCTTCGAGTGGTCATCTGTGTATTCACAATAATGGGGATTAAGTCTGAACCCACGCAGAGCAGTCCCGGAACTTTTTGCTCGAGCACATGGTACTGGGACCTCCCACATGCTGGCTATAACTCCGCCCCTGGCACTGAGTGCCTCAGTTCCTGACACTCAATGCTGCACAGCACCTAGGTGCATACATGACATACAGCAGGGAGGATGGGCAGGGAGTGTGAATTCACAAATGACCACTAGAAGAACCAGAGTTATAGATAAATAACCTCTTTTTCTTCTTCTTGGTCTCTGTGAATGTACATTGATGGATGACTAGCAAGCTCACTCAACTGGAGGCGGGGATGTCTCAAAAGCAAAGAAGACAAAATAGCACGTCCCACTGCAGCCTTGGCCTTGGCCTGGACATCCAGGCAATAGTGGGAGGCAAAAGTGGATGGCGTTGCCCAAGTAGCCACCTTACAAATGTCAGCAATGCCCACTCCCTGAAGAAAAGCAGTAAAAGAAGCCACCTGTAACACACCCCCAGTCCCCCTGTTTGTTCTTCTACAAACCCAGGTTCCCTTTCGGGTGTGACATTTAATTTTCACCCTTTTTCGCTACCACCAGTGGATTTCTTTTATCCACAATGTAAATTATTTTACTCAAGCCTTGCCCTCAGCCTGTCTACTGGGGGAGGAGAATATGGAGGCAATTGAGGTGTTTCTATTTCTAATTGCTCAGAATTCTCCTCAGCCACAGTTAACCCTTCAGGTTCCAGATTTTCGGCTGCACTCATGACACTATCCCCCTCCCCAGGGCCCCCCCTTCAGATGGGCTGGGTCGATCAGGATAGGTGGGATGGAACTGCTGTACAAGGTCAGGGGTATGTAGGTTACTGGTGGGTTCCCATGATCGATCCTCAGGGCCATAACCTTCCCAATCTACGAAGTACTGCAGACCTCCTCAGTGGATTTGGGAGTCCAGGATCTGACGGACCTTGTATTCTTCCTCGCCATCGACCAAAATGGGCGGAGGTGGAGCCAGGGGTGGAGGTCGGGCAGGGTCCATTGCTGCAACAGGAACAAGGAGAGACCGATGGAAAACCAGGTGGATACGGACAGTAGCTGGGAGTTGTAACCGGAAAGCAACAGGGTTGATTTGGTCCGTGATTAAATAGGGTCCTATAAACCAAGGGTCCAACTTACGGGTGGAAAGCCAGACCTGGTCCCCTGCCCTTCTTGCCGTTTTCTGTTGGCCGCTGTCTTATAGGCATCCTTAGCTTGCTGAAGCTGCTCGCGGAGTAACCCTTGGAGAGCCTGCAACTCGCATATGTGGGCATCAGCAGCAGGAACCACAGTTGATGGCAAGACAGCCAGGAAAAAGCGAGGATGGTACCCATAGTTGGCTACAAATGGGGTCTGTTTTGTAGATGTGTGTACGGCGTTTGGATATGGAAAAACTGACTGGTTCAAAATTGGTGGATATGGAACAACTGATTGGTTCAAAATTGGGAAAGGAGTACGACAAGGCTGTATATTGTCCCCCGGCTTATTTAACTTATATGCAGAATACATCATGCGGAAGGCTGGACTGGAGGAATCCCAAGCTGGAATTAAGATTGCCGGAAGAAATATCAACAATCTCCGATATGCAGATGATACCACTCTGATGGCAGAAAGTGAGGAGGAATTAAGGAACCTTGTAATGAGGGTGAAAGAGGAGAGCGCAAAAAATGGCCTGAAACTCAACATAAAAAAAAACTAAGATCATGGCCACTGGTCCCATCACCTCCTGG